CTTACAGTTTCTGATATCCACTTAAAATTCCTAACAACTGATTAGGAAGAGTTATCGACTCTATAAAAAGAAGATCATTATTAATATTTTGAAAAATTGAATAACTGCTCAATATTAAAAGAAAAATCGTTTAAAACAATAACAATTTTGAATTATTTTTGTTTTTTGATTACATTCAATCTCTTGGTAAGATAAAATCTCTTTTATCTTGCCACTGCATCAATTTTATTGATTCCATGATTCATATTTCATTTTCTAGTTATATTTCTGTCTATTAAATCAATTATTTATAAAGCCGTTTAAATTCGTTCAGATAAATCGTAGCATAATTCATACGATTGGTTAAATGGAAAACGCAGAACAGAAATAAGAGTCAAAGCGCGTATGTTATACTGCAATTCACAGCGCTTATACTTTATGTAATATGTACAAATAAAATCAATATTTTTTTGAGTAATGCCTATACATTCATTCATGTTATAATTGTACTGTATATACATTCATGCATTCACTATTCACACAGTTGTTATATAGACGTATAATATGTGACAGGATATTGAAATTTAAATTTAAAGTCAAGTAGAAGTTACATACATATATAATCTGTACTACAAAACTGAATTCAACCACCATAATGTGAAAAACAAAAAAAAAATATAATAAATCAGGAAAAACAAGTTTTCCATACCAATTCTAACGGCAGTACTATTTTCAAACTCGTTTATTGAAAATGTGAACTCTGTAACTCCTATAGTGAGCTTTTTATCAAAACCGTAAGTTATTTATTTCTCGAGACTTAAAAATACTAAATTTTATTGGAATAATAGCTCCATTTCCAAATTAGTTTGGCTAAAATTTAAATAATATATATATGTATATATACTGTTACTTCTGATAATGGTTTCCATAGGGGAAAATTGTGTTTATAGTTCCAAGGCGACTGCAAGAGCCTTGCTTTCGATAGAATCAAGATTGAATAGTTAAATTTTTGAACGAGCCTAGCGTAATGTTTTACAATTATCATTGTGACAGTAGCAATATCATCTCAGAATATGGCACTGATCATGGATTTATATTATCTTTCTTTGTGTTTTCAGTTTTGAAAATCAATGTGCTTGCCTAATTAATTAGGAGAAAAATTAAATCATGAATTATTTTACAATATGAAATAGTAACTCTAGTATAGAGTAATCGCACACATATAGAGTCCCAAAAGTATTACACAACAACTTCTTAGTGGTACAAACGAAAATTTTTTCATAAGTGTTATAGATTCGTGATAAAAGCATATAAGGACATTGATGGTATTCCAAAAGAAATCTTGAATAACATGAAAAAGAAAAATTAATTCTAGTTGAAATTTTTCTTCTATTTTTTCGCTTTTACGTTATTCAGTTAAATTTAGTTGGAAACGCGTTAGATTGTTATAATATACGAGATGGAAATATGATTATGATTTTTTTTTTCTAGTTCTCTACTCGTGTTTATTCAAATTCAAAATTTAATTGAATTTTCTTTTTACTAGGTTTTTTTGTTTGTACGCGATAGTGTTTGCTATTTTATTCTCTGACTGAAATTCAACTTAAATTTTCTTTTCATAACCGTTTTACTATTATATTCTTATAACACTTCTAACCACCCACAATTCGTGATTATTATTATTGGAGAAACGCGTTTTACAATAACGTGTATACTGTTCATTTTTGGAATGTATAATAGGAACTCACAACAAAGTTTTATATGTTTACTGTAATAAAAAAGGAAATTGATATATGGTAAAATTGATTTATATACAACTATAGGAAGCTCAATATAACAGTTTGCATTTATGACTCAATATTATACGAAACACAAACATGATGTGCTGCTGCAGTATGAGTTATGAAATTGTTTTGTAGTTTTAAAAAAATTCAAACTAAAAAATTTTTGGAAAAAATGCTTGCATTTTCATTCTTTTTACTATTTGACTCCGTGTCGGTTAGGTTTCAATTTGCACACTTCAAGGTGGAATGCTGGTTGAATTAAAATTTTTCCAAATTAATCATAGTCAAATTTCCTTGGACAAATTTTTTTCGTTTCATCTTCTACGAGCTGTGCCTTTCAAAACTCATGAAAATTTCAGCGTTACTTTGTCAAACAGCAAGAGGTTGACGGCTTGTAAACTATTACACAGCGATTGAAATTTGTTATAAAATTAAGAATCGATCTAAACATATTTTGCTTCCTTCAACATTAGGTTTTCTACTCTATACCACTATGGCATTAACAATGGTTATCTAAGCTCGCTATACCATTACAATAAAAAGTAAACGAGAATAAGAAAACTATAGTAGCGAAATAATAAAAAAAATTGCAAATACGAATGATTTTAATTGAATTTTTGCGTGTTTTTTAATATTAGATTTTTTTCTATTTTAGTTTATTTCTATGGTTTAACATACGGAAATACACACTTTTAAAGCAATTAAGATATAGTATATAAAAATATTTTGATATAAAATTTTTTAAGGTTTCTAGGTTCATAGTGGCGAAGTATCAAAAAAATAATTATATAATATTATTTTATTATTGGAATTGTAATAAAAATTAATGGAAAATTTTCAATAGTGCTTTTTACAGCAACAGATTCAATACGAACCCAAAAAAGCGTTTACAAAAGACACATAACAAAATGTTATATTGTTGCAAATGATCATATTTTATTTAAAATTTGTGGGAACAATAGCTTAAACAGCAAAAAATGTATAATTTAAAACAAGAAAATATAGAGTTGACGCGTCAAATCTGTGATACCCGTGCAAATTTTTCATATAGTTTCCTATAACTGCAGGAATCTTTAAAATTTTTGATAGATATGTGCTATAGCAAGTACATGTGCACCCGGAAGCTATTATAAGAAACTCGTTTATCAAAAACGTAAACACTGTAACCTTTAAAGTGTTCAATATACGATTAAATGTTGAAATTGTGTTACTGCAATTTACAGATTTTATACAGCGTGTTCCCCAAATTCAAATAATTTCAGGTATGATTTTTGCTCAATTTGCAGCAAAAAATTGTATGTGTGTTAGATGGGTTCTGCATATAAATAAATAATTATAACTTCGGAACCATGCAAAAAGGAATTATCATTAGGAGCTTGTTTTACAGACGACTGTTTGTTCTTTATTTTTAGTCTTACAATTAATTTTATTTGAGCCATAGTTTTCGAGATAAAGCTCATCAAAGTCAGAGGTTTTTGTTTTTTTTTAATTTTTTTTTAAAAGGCTCGAAATTTCTCGAAAATCTGTACTATTGGATGTCATATTCTCGGTGGGAATGCACTTTTTCATAGTAGGGAAGCGTAAATAAACTACTTTTGGAAAGATATCGGTCTGGCTGTGTGTGTACGTGTGTATCACAAGTTCGGTTGAACCGATTTTCATAAAATTTTATATGCTTGTTTTGGTTATGGCACGGTTCGATCAACTTATGGGATATATTAGACCTGGAGAATTTGACGTTTGTGCGGGCCAATTTTAAATTGTTGCGAATATAAAGAGAAATAATTAACCAATTTCCTTTAAATTGGATATTTAAATTCGGGGTGGTGAAGCAATGAATCTATAAATTTTTTGGAAATATCAGTGCTGGGAAATCGACCTGAGGTCCTATTTTACATTTCTTACTATATCTATAGAATGGATTGGCGGAATTTTTTTGAAATTTGGTGTTTGTGTTCTGGTTGTTACCGAAACTAACTGGTGAACTTTTCAGGAAATTCGGATGCCACAAAGAAAATTTCTACTAAGAGCCAAATTTACATTTTTCTAGGTATATTAGCTGAAAGCTTGCAAACTTCCTTAAAGCGAAAGGAAGTATTCAATACTTTTTTATTTTATAGACAAATTTGTAATTATAGCATTTTATGCTCATTAAATTTATCGTAATAAAAAATTAAGGATTAAATAATCAATTTTTAATTAATAATTAGTTTATAATTGAATAAATTCATGATCCTTTTTTCCAACCTTCATCCTCCTACGTCTTTACGTCCTTTTAAAATATTTTTATCCAACAAACCAAATATTTTTCAGTTATCATACCCATAAAAGGAATATACATAATATATGATTTTTGAATTTAAAATACACACAAAACGTATGATATTTTAAAATCAGAGTGTTGCCAAATGCTCTTGAATACTATTACATTAAATCTGATATATTATTGTTCGTCAATTGAACAGTAATGATTCGTTTGGAATAGTTTTTAATTTTATAGTTGTTGGCTTCATAGTTCATGTTATAACCATCGACTATATTGTTGTGGGTTATTTTACATACGTATACTGATTGAAAGCACCTTGATATTAAAATACATACATTAATTGAAGGTGACAAAAAGACAGCAAAAACTGAAGCTAACAGGTAGGACAGCAGAATTTATGAACAAACATGAATATTTAGAATGACATTAAAGTTAACAGTTCAGTTTCAATTATTTTCTATTTAAAATTTATTTAAAAAAAAAGAAAATTAAAATAACATTTTATGTAGGTTTCACTTCTTTCGCAAATATTCCGATAAAGTACATCAAAATATACACTGAGGCATATTTCTACAGGCAGATGTTAGAACCAGAGTATTATCAAACTTACAAATCCAATAAATTTTCTTCAATATATTATTATGGTAACCGCTTATGTCCAAAAAGATGTAAGGCGGACGAAATACGCATAAACGTATTCAACAAAAAACCTTAAATAAATATTAGCCCTTTTGCCTATTTTGTCTAAAATATGATCTATAAATATTGTTAACTCAATTTAATATCAGTTGTTTATATAACAGTTTTCTTAGTTGAAGTAATACAAAAATATTGAAAACAATTGGTAATACTTAAATTTCTCTTGCAATATTTTATTAATTGCTCTTATAGTGTAAAATATTGAATATATCTATATGAGTGTGTGTATCGATATTATGGTTGTGTATTATTATTTAAGTAATTCTACTTACCTTTTCAATGATGCAAACCAAATTAATTGTTGAGCCCATATCAACATGCAATTCACCAGAACCAAGTATAAATGCCTCCGGTACAACAACTTGAAGGTTTACAAAGTGTGATATTACACCAGTTGGAGTCGATACCTATAAGTATAAAGTAAAATGCATTGTATATATTATGTATATAAAATATATATATGTATGTGTATATTTATATAAATTATTATGGATTTCATTTAAAGATATTAATAAAATTGTTGATTTTCTTTTATATATATTGAACACATCAACATTACTATGTACATACATACATGAATGTCGATTTACTTCGAATTTGTTCTGGGTAGCAAAATATTAACAAGGAATCTTAAGAATTCATTTTATTTCAACATTATTATTATTATTGTACGCACGTACACATGAAGCTTATATGTATATTTACAATTTCATAAAGAGAATATTGAATTTTTATCTCAAGGTATTGAAAATTCAAAAATATTTTTAAGATAAACTCTATATTTTATGAAGGAAACCATTTTCACAGTAAGAGTTGAAAAAGGATAAGATTACACTTATTTAGATATTTTTCTATAATAAGTTTCTCTAGTATTTAATGTGCATGTTTTATATGATGTGTGAATAAAATTATGTGCATATATTTTTTATATGTAACTATAAAAACGTACACATATATGTATATGCGGTTAGAATTATATAAGAATTAAATTGTGCATGATATCGACGAAATAGTCACAATCTTGTAATTTCCTCATATGAAAAACTGAAACTTTTAGAAAAATGTAAAACTGAAATATAAGGTATATTTTTTTAAGAAAAATGATAAACCTATGAAATGTCTTGTTCGGCACAATCATTACAATATTAAAATAAGAATTTCACGAGTATTGTATGAACATAAGGCCCAACTTTCTACATTGCGAAGTTTTTTTCTAATGAATTGTAGAATTCTACATTATCAGAATTTCTTCTAATATTTTAGGCAATCATTACTGCAATGTGCATTGTTTTCATTTAATAATTTATTGCTAAATATTAGCGAGTCCGTTTGAAATTAATTAGTTGAACTGAAACTAAGAATTTGGAATATTATTGTTGCCAAATGGCACTCAAGCAAACTTATAATAAAATAAAAGTAGAAAATATTCTGTCACTTTACGTTTCTTGACATTTATTTCTTTACCAATTCAATAATATTTAAAATGTCTTTTAAAATAACCCTCAAAATAATTCATGTCGATAATGAGGTTTTTGTACATGTAGATATAGCTGTAACTGGGGGAGGATTCACTATTTCTGACACAATTAACTCAATATTATCGACTAGGGCTATCTAAATTCAATATTATTTATTTGTATTACAGTAAATTTATTCAAACAAAAAAAAATTATATCATTTTGAAAAATTTCATAAATTAGTAGTGGCAGTGTTAGGGCTTTAGTAATACCGAAACATGTTCACCAATAAAGCCTTAGAATGAAACCAATAAAACCTAGAGAACCCTATCTTATATGAAAGTCTGTCGCTGTGTAACTATAGAAAAGGTTATACGCTTGGATGGTAATTTGTAATTGCATCAAATTCATACAGTATGCATGCACGTTAATACTGAAAATTCGAAATTTGATATACCGTAGTTATTATAAGGATTATATTCAAAGGAATGTAAGAAAAGTTACTAACCTTATTTTCCATGTTATAATCAAGAACATTAGTTCAATACATAAAATTTACTAAAATAAATAAACACTCGAATAAAAGAGTTTGTTTTTTTAATTAAAATTGAGGTAAATTTTCTCGTATCAAATGTAAAATACAGGTATTTTCATATGTAGGGATTACTAACATATTATTTATATAATGTATGTATATATCCAAATTAAAATGCATATCAGAATATATTTTACTTGTGTTTATTGAAAATTACAGAAGGGATTTCCAGAATCATTTTCTTATATAAACAGAAACCCCAGTAGCCAAAATGAATACTCTTTAAGAATATTAAATAATATAAATAATAAATTTGTTTGTTGAGTCCTTTTTTAAGTGGAATAAAAATTTAAGATAAATTCATACATGCATGCTTCCCTCTTTGAACCTCAATGTGTTATTGTGTATATAAACTGTATGTATAACGACGACGTTATAAAAAATTTAATGAGAATCTTGTAATTAACTTGAAGTTGATTTGAATTATTTTTAGAACAATGATCGTACTTGAAAATATTCACATAATACGGAATGGAATAAAACTAAAAATTAAAGCAATTTTATTAAAAAGGTAATATGTGCTTCGGTCTAATTTATATGGTTTGCTAACCACTGATTCAACTAACACAAGTCTTGCTTCATGTCACTTGTTCGATTTATTATTATTACAATCTATCAGAATTCCTGTCAGCACTATACATTATACTTATCCAAATCATTTTCAAATTCCAAGAGTTTAACGAGTCAAGTTGCAAGAGTCAACGAATAACGTACACGTTAATGGCATCTAAGGCACGGGCTACCCTATAAGTGTCATTGTACTTCAAATGTGTTATTATATTTGGATTGCAGAAAGCTGGTCAACAGATTCAATTGATTTGTTATTAACCACTGATTCATAAAACATAAATTTAAATTATTAAATTTTAATGTGGTAGAAAAGCTTCTTGTTTCTACAACAATATTATAGATTTTGGTTATACGTAAAATAAATAATTATTTTAAGGATACTTAATAAGTACTAAATTATTATTGGTGAAACATAATGAAATTTTCAATAAACATTTCAAAAAAATTCTGTTTATGTCATTTTCAAAAGATTAACATTTTGATATAATTGAAATCAGTTTAATTAATATAGAAAATTGATTGAATATTAAATTTAAGATACCCAAAAATTAGATTTTTACAAAAACTAAGACCTTATTGAATTAAAAAATGAAATTTCAATTTTATTTGTTTTGTAGAAACTTAAGTTAAATTTAAAGTAGACCAACTAACATTTTAGCTCTATATATAATTTTTTTTAACAACTACGTATTCAACTACCTTGTGATCCATTCATCCCAGCGATAGCATAAAAACTTCAACTCTTAGCTCGACTCTTATTTCGTTAGCAATGGCTTAACTAAATTTTCACAATTTAAAAAGAGCAAAAGAGTACTACAAGAATCGTCTTTAATTTGGATTGGATCAAATCAGGTGGTCGAATAACTGCCATACAACTCTTAAAATAATAAGGCCATATTTCGGGAACCGTATAGCTAAAGCTAATTTTGCATGAATGAATGCTACCATTATGAATACCATTATTCTATTTAAATTTGGTCGTAGATTTATAAGTTTTTGCATTATCTCTTCTACAATTCCATAAATAATTTTAGCATATTTCGGATACTATAAAGGGTATATTATTCAAATTTTAAAAAGCTTAAATAAGTGGAATTATAGGGCCATATTTAAAAATTTTAAGCCACTTATAGCTTAAATAAAATAATGACACACTACAGTTAAACAGTCTATACCATATTGAATTAACTGAATTTGCGTATACTATCAAGTAAATTAATATAGCGCGGAAACCACAGTACTACTTTTAAAATGTTATATAATTTTAATACCTTAATATATTTTTATTACTGAGCATTAATTTTTTAATAATTTTAATTACGTTTTAATTTTAAAACTTAATGCTCACAATATGTATGTAGTAGATATGTACAATAAATTTATAATTAAAATGTCAAGTGATATATACATATTATCTTGTACAATATGCTGCGGCGAAATAATTTTTGTAATAAATGTTTAATATACTTTACATAAGTTCAGTCATGAGGTTCGCAAAAGCAAAGTTAAGTCGAATGTATTTCTTATATGTCTCCGGACTCCGATATAATCCGATATAACAAGTTCTCTTTAATTATGAAAGCAATACGTTATTATTTTAAGATACATAAAGCCATACGTAATAATAATAAAGTATTTAAAATCTTATTAAGTTTCTATTAAAATTATCCTGAATATTTCAAATAGAGTTTTAAATAATTTTATTCTGAATACAATTATCTTTTAATTGCACAAAATTTAAAGGAAGAAATTTTATTAAAGTATTAATATATAGGATAAAAATAATATTAAAATAATTTTATAATCTCTAATGCAATATTTTCCTTTCTTGTCAATATGGGTGTGTGGGTAAAAATCAATTTAATGTATTTTCAATAATTTCTCAATCTGAAAATAATTTAATAGATTTTTTGATTGTCGTCATTATTATTGTTATGGCAATAAAAATTTATTTCTAAATATCTACATTTTAATTTTATTTTAAATTCTCTTGAAAAAATAATAAACTATGAAAATTTATTTGCCAATATCTCTATCAAAAAAATTTACGAAACAATTTCACATTTTTTTAGAATATAAAATTTTAAATTAAAAAAATAAAATTTTCCGGAATTCAGTAATGTTCAATGCAGAATAAAAAAGATATTATTGAACAAGTTAGTTTAAATAGTGCAATACAGTATACCTAATTTAGCATACGTAAGAAAATTAAATTGAAATTAATAGAAAGCAAAACTGAATCAACAAATAATAATAAAGATCAGATATGAATTAAGGGGCAGTTCATTTCATATACATATAGAAATATTAATTGATATAAAAATTAAGATAAAAATTTATTAGTAAAAATAACTATTGAAAAAGTAATTTCTAAGGTACAAATTAAGTGGGGTCAAACCAATGGTTTGTAAAGAAGCACTTTTCCCTGCAACAAATGAAAACTGCGTTTCTTAAAGCAATCTATACTACATTATTTAAATTAGTTTGATTGATATACAAAATTATATATAAAAGAATTGTATAAGTTCAGGATCAGCAAAGAACAAAATGGAAGGAGCAAATAATTCATTTAATTTTTCAAGAAAAATAATTATATTTTTTGATGACATGGAATTTATCTTGAGCATTCTGCATTTTTAAAAATTTGGAAAAGCTTGAGGCTTCGGAAATATAAGGTGCCGACAATTCAAATTTTACAAATTTCCAAAGACAATAACTTGAGAGAATATTTTTGGTTTCGTTACAATAAGTGATCAAAAAATAGCATTTTTAGAATTTTTAGGAG